TGGCACTGAGCCTCCAGTGACTTCTACTGGAGTTGTCTGTGGCCTCTAATGACCAGGGAGCTTATTTGGAACAAAGAAGAACTGACAGGAGAGGAGTCTTGATGAAATCTGAAACTCACAGGCTTAGAGGTTCAGAACAATCAGGGTAACATTTTTTTGAGTGGGGAGAGGGGTCTGCTTTCTCTGTGCCCCTGCATCTCTCGTTGTGGAGAGGGCGAGAAGCACCAAAATGTAGTAAAGGTAAAAGCATGTTTCTGGCTTAAAATAATCCAGGGGGGCATTGCAAATCTCAGGGCGGGGGGAGGTCCAGGAAAGAAGTGTCTGTGTATGTGTGGGCGGAAGGGAGGATGCCCAGTATCCAGATTACAGTGGCATGGAGTCCTGAAACTGGGTGAAATAGGGAATGGACATCTTTCCTAAAGCACAGACCAAAGAAGTGTAATGAGGCCTCCTGGGACAGGGGACTGTCTCAGACTACCACAGAATGTGGACCACACTGTAGCAGATTGTCTCTGATACTGCCCCCATCCCTCCTCTCGTGAGTAACCCCACTACAGCTTCATGGTAACATCAGCAATTGCCAACACAGAAAAGCAGCGTCAGGAAGGAGTATCTGGGTTTCTAAGGTGCTGCAATACGTTAAAGCTGTGTGTCGTTTTGAGGAAGAGTTACTCACGCTGGCTCCTTTTAGTCTCCAAGTCCTCTCTCCCTCCTGCTGGTCTGTCCCTCTCTCCTTCCCTGCACAGGCTGAGCTGCTGCTGGGGTTCCCTTTCCCCCAGAAAGGCAGTTCAGGCTGATCTCCCCCTTTTCCCCGGTGCAGACAGACACTGAGTTTAACCTAGTCTGAGGAGGTATTGCTGTGAGCTGTCGCTGTGGGATGTGGCATGTGGTTTTGATCCTGGGTGAGGGGTATCACTCTGCGGTGGGGCTGGAAGTTGTGGGGCAGGGGGAACGAAGATGGACAAGCAGGCAGCACTGGGGTTTGTGGGGGCAGGTAGGGGAGTGCACACAGGCAGGTGGGCAGCACTGGATGTTATGGGGTTGGGGATCGGGTGTACATGGACAGTTGGGCAGTGCTGTAGGTTGTGGATGCAGGGAGGGAGGTGTACAGGGAGGCAAGCGGTGCTGCTGACAAATTTTCTTCGTGATTGTTGGCCCAAGGCCAGTGCTGGGAGGTTTCTTCACCCCCCAGTGTTTTTGGACTGGTCTCAGGGTCTCTTTGCCCTGGCAAGCCACAGAACTGCAGCCTGGGTGTCACAACCTTTATTCAGTTTTGTTTCCATTTGTTGTTGTTGTTACATAACTTCAGGTATTTCACCAGTGGAAAGAACCATTGATCTTTTCTTTTCAGTTGGTTCAATCTCCTATCATACTCTGACCCCCTCCATCCTTACCCTCCTTCCCCATCCCAGGCTGCCCTGATTCCAACAGCACACTGGTTGCCAGTGTCTGCTCCATACTCCCCAGTCATCCCTGGCTCCCACAACCTCCAAGCCGGCCAACTCTCCTATGATAAACGAGGGCGGGTAGCTCCCTTTTATGGACACCCAGCCAGTCAGTTAGCTATAGAATCCTCCTTAGCAGTTGTACCCTAATTGCCTTACCTGTAAAGGGTTAAGAGGTAAGCTTAAAATGAGTTGGCACCTGACCAGGGGAACCAACAGGGATGCTGTACCCTTTAACATTGGGAAAAACTGCTGGGTGTAGGGGTCTTTTGTTCTGTTGGGCAGAAACAGACAGGGCAGCAACTATGCTGTAAAAAGCTTTGAGCCAAGTATGGGAAATCATCAGGATCATACCTACAAACTACTCATTTGGACCCCCGGATATGTAATCAGATCAGGAAATGTTAGGTAGACACGATCAGGGATCTTTTTTGTTTTGACTTGTGGATTCCTCTGTGCTAACCCCAGGTGCTTTTGTTTTGTTTTGCTTGGTAACCTTTAAGCTGGAACCCAGGAAGCTATTCTTGGTGCTTAATTCCTGCAGTTGCTCTTTAAAATCTAGCAACAACCTGAGTTTCCAGGTGTATTTTCTTTCTTCTTTTTAAATAAATTTTACCTTTTTTAAGAGGTTTGTGCATGGTTTTTTTAGTTAGTTGGTGGCAACAGCTGATGTTCTTTTTTTTTCTTTTCCTTTCTCAGTTCTTCCCTGGAGTGGGGGTGAAAGGGCTTGAGGGTGCCCCACAGGAAGGAATTCCCAAGTGCTCCTTCCTGGGCTCTCAAAGGGGTTCTGCACTTGGGTGGTGGCAGCATCTACCCATCCAAGGTCAGAGAGAAGCTGTAACTTTGGTAATTTAATACAAGCCTGGAGTGGCAAGCACTAATTTTTAGAGTCCTTGCAGGCCCCCACCTTTTGCACTCAAAGTGGCAGAGTGAGAAATGGGCTTTGACATCTCCCCACAACTCTTCCTTGTCTGGGGAGTAATCATTGACTGTATCTCACCGGTGAGAAATCTCACACCCGAGCAGGAAATGCCAGGGCAGCTGTGCTGCTGCTCTCGGTGCACCCATAGACACCGCACACAGGTTTGGGGTCTGCTACACAGGAACAACTCACAAGTTGAGAAGTTTGCACATTCTATAACGAGAGCAGGGAACTCTGGGACATGTCAGGGCCTAGATAAATACAGCTTAGCCAGCTCTGTTAGTCATTCACTGTGACGGTTGTACATTCATTCCTCAGAGTGGGGATTTTATGGGCTCAGGTCATTATTTTTGTCATCTAACACATTCATCCATGCAGTGTCTCATGGGATTCCTCAGCCGCATGAAATACACACCTAGTGTAACATTTCCAAGGTGCCAAAGTCAAATAAGAATTTCTCCCCATAGGGCTAAATTCACCACGGTCGTGAATAGAAAAAAATGCCTTCAGTAAGCTCAGGCACAAACTTGTAGGCAAAATGCCTCAAGCTTACTCCTGGGACATATTAGTAGATTCTATGGCCAGGAGAGACCATTTTGATCATCTGGTCTGACTTCATGAATCCGCCAAGACCCTTTTTAAATTGTTCCAATGGTTAACTACTCTGACTATTTAAAAAATGCACGCCTTATTTCCAGTCAGAATTTCTTTAACTTCAACTTCCAGCCATTGGAATGGTGTTATGCTAGACTGAAAAGCCTATTATTAAATATTGTTCCCCATGAAGGTACTTACAGACTGTTATCAAGTTATCCCTTAAGCATCTTTGTTAAACTAAATAGATTGAGATATTTGACTCTATCACTATAAGGCAGGTTTTCTAATCTTGTAATAATTCTTGTGATTCTTCTCTGAACCCCCTTCAGTGTATCAACATCCATCTTTAATCCTGGTCACCAGAACTGGATAAAGGATTCCAGCTGAAGTCACACAAGTGCTAAATACTGAGGTAAAATATCTTGTCTACCTCTCCTTGAGTTAAAAATTACGTAGACATGTTAGATGTCTTCAAGTCACCAGGCCCTGATGAAATGCATCCTAGAATACTCAAGAAAGTGACTGAGGAGATATCTGAGCCATTAGCTATTATCTTTTAAAAGTAATGGAATATGGGAGAGATTCCAGAAGACTGGAAAATGGCAAATATAGTGCCCATTTATAAAAAGGGGAATAAGGACAACCCAGTGAATTACAAACCAGTGAGCTTACCTTCTGTACCAGGAAAAATAATGGATCAAATGATTAAGGAATCAATTTGCAAACATCTAGAATATAATAAGGTGACAATTAATAGTCAGCATGGATTTGTCAAGGTTTTTAGCCTGAAGGACTTCTCTGTTTCGGCCCCCAGGAGGAAGAGTTACCGCTCTTCTACCACTCTCTGGTCTCCATCCCTGGCTTCCTGCCTCTGGGCCTGTATGTAGCCCCTGGTGAATTAGCCCTGGCAGCTGCTTCCCATTCACCAGTCAGGTGCAGATTTCTCTAGTCAGCTCCAATTTACCTTCCTTAATAGGTGCTGGAGTGACAGAGGGCTGGCTCAGGAGTTCCTGTCCAGCACCCTGTCACACAACCCTAATACCTAACAGGTAGAGACAAGTTTGTGTCCTGAAATACGTGGGCATCCAGGCTTTCCAAAATATTTATTTAGCTGTAACTATTGCAACTAGATAGTTTTACTGTCCATAAAAATGTCCAAACCCTTCCTGATTCTTACTTAGCTCGTGGAATCAACTACCTCCTGTGGCAATCAGTTCCTCAGTCTAATTAGATGCTGAGTGAAGAAAGCATTATTTTTTGTCTGTTTTGAATGTGCCACATTTCAGTTTAATTGAATGTCCTATTGATCTTGATCTACTCTCTACCAGTCAGTATTTGATAGACTTTTCTCATATCCTCTGTAATTCATCTCAATTCTAAGATAACAAAGTAAGTCTTTTCAACCGCTTTCCATATGAGAGTTAACTCGGGATCTAGATTGTTCCCTGCAACCCTCTAGTTCTTCAATATCTTTTGTGAGAAGGGTGCCCAGTACCTCAAACAGGAGTCCAGAAGAAGGTGAAATATTAACTGACTGATCTCATGGCATTATATTGTTTGTATGAGTCCCCATTTTATGCCTCCTGCATTCCAATGTTTTGCTCAGTTTCTGTCCATTCTTGCACGGTGAGCATGTTTTCACAAGGCTGAGTACCATGACACCCAGGTCCCTCTCCTGAGTTCATACAGTTAAATTAGAATCTTATAAGGTGTTCGAGGAGTTCAAGTTTTTTCTTCATATGGGCATAAACATTTCAGTTATTGACTTCAAAGTTCTTCTGCCATCATGCTGCCCATTCACCTGGCTTGGTTAGCTCCTTCAGAGGACTTATCTGGCCTCGACTATGACCTAAATAATCTGTTGCCATCTGTAAATGTTGCCATTTCACTACTCACCCCCATTTCTAGATTGTTAATACCTATAAAATATTTACCATATATATTTTTTTTAAAGCATGTAACCCTCCTCTCTGTGCATCTCTCCCTTCACAGGAACCTTGAGCCTTTCTGAGCCCAATATAAGCATTCAACATCTCATGTCAATTTTCAACCTCACCGCCTTTGAACCATCAACATTCATCCTAATGGGGATCCCTGACCTGGAAACTGCCCACCTCTGGATCTCCATCCCGTTCTCTACATTCTACATTATTGGCCTATTGGGAAATTTTACAGTTCTGTTTGTTGTAGGCAAAGAGCAGACCCTGCACAAGCCGATGTACCTCTTGCTCTGCATGCTGGCGCTCACGGACATTGGCACGTCTACCTCTGTTGTGCCAAAGGCACTGTGTATATTTTGGTTCAATTTGAACAACATTAATGTGGGTGGCTGCCTCACCCAGATGTTCTTCCTTCATGGGGTTTCTATGATGCACTCAGCCATCCTTGTGACAATGGCCTTTGATCGCTATGTTGCCATATGTAACCCTCTGAGATATGCCACTATCCTCACCAATGCACGAATAGCTAAACTAGGGCTAGTGGGTTTGATAAGAGCTGTTCTCCTCATTCTACCCCTTCCCCTGCTCCTGATCAAGCAGCCATTCTGTTCCAACCACATTATCCCCAACACGTATTGTGACCACATGGCTGTGGCAAAGATGTCGTGTGGAGACATCACAGTCAACAGGACATATGGTTTGGTGATGGCATTTGTAGTCATCATGTTAGACTTGACTCTCATTGTCCTGTCCTACAGTCTGATCATCAGGGCCATCCTCAGAATCTCCTCCAAAAAAGCCCATCAGAAAGCCCTCAACACCTGCACAGCCCACATCTGTGTGATGCTGATGTCTTATCCTCCCTTCCTCTTCTCCACTCTGACACATCGGTTTGGTCAGGGCATCGCTCCACAGGTTCACGTCATCTTGGCCAACCTCTATTTCCTCCTCCCCCCCATGCTCAACCCTATCATTTATGGGGCCAAAACCAAAGAACTTCGTGAGAAAATGGGCAAATACACCTGCAGAAGGTGATCTCCTAGGGCCACAGACTTTAAACCAGCATGACGGGAAGGAGAAGCAATATCTCCTTGTTAATCAAGTGTGCTCTGTTCCAGTTTGGCTGAGCTCAGTATTGTGGACATTCAAAGTGTGAAAAGCTTCTCACACCTAACACCTCATCACTCCATCATCAAGCACTGTTCTCTCTGTTGCTGAGTTCCCTCTCTCTGACCATCACCTGGTCTCTTTCAGCTTTACTCATCATCCCTCACTTCTACACACACTGTCACTTGGCCTCTCCATGACTTCCAAACCACCTAAAGATACAACATCTATCTGAAGCAAGGTGGATTTCCATTAGATCCTTTGTGTTTTGTAGAAGTTATAAAAGATTAGCTAATGCAGTGTGCTTTGGAGCATCTTGAGAGATGTTAATTATTCAATACTGTTCTGGCAGTTAGGTAAATATCTGGGATGTTCTAAATCTTTTGCTTATGTCTGTGTGTGCTTAAATCAAATACACTGCAACGTTAGACAAGAGCATGATTAATTGCCTTTAATCCTTGATCAGACAGAATTGCTGTGTTCCCATTGATTTATTCCACAAACTGCCTGGAGTGAAATAGTTAAGTTGCCCCAGCTTTGGGTTATGACAACACAGGGTAACAGACTGCTGTGTTAAATTAGGACATCACCTTGGAGTACAATAACTTCCCGCTTTGCACAGTTAATTTTGGAGTAGCTTTCAGCTACACACACTAACCATTCCTGTTGTTGAAGATGCCAAAAGTAGGTGTTGAGATTTCTTCTTGGAGTTTGTGAAACAGAGATTGCCACCAAATGTTCAGGTGATTGAACAACTTGCAGTACTAAGGTTTCAGAGGGATAGCTGTGTTAGTCTGTATAAGCAAAAAAACAATGAGGAGTCCTGTGGCACCTTAGAGACTAACAAATTTATTTGGGCATAAGCCTTCATGGGATACAATCCACTTCATCAGATGCATGGAGTGAAATCACAGTAGGCAGGCATAAATATACTAAGTACTAAGTCCTTCACAGCCTAGATACAATGATATCTCATTTTTGCCATTGTTTTGTGGAGACCTTGGACAGTTGGAGCAGCAATGGAGATTTTTGTGTCTAGATCACTGGGTCTCAAATTCAGATCAACCAAGTATGGCAGTTTTGGGCTGAAGGTCTCAAACAGATGGATGTCGCTGGGGACAAAGACTTTAATGAGCTTGGCTTGTTTGCTCTTTCATTGCTGTTGCTACCTTTTAGAAATGCTACAGCTGAAAGACTGTTTTCTCAGTCAGATGCACTTGATAAAAGAAAAACTGTGCAACAAGATGAAATAGGAACCTTTAGAAAACATACTTCAAGTTAGGGCATACATGAAACCACACAAAATCTGTTGTGAAGAGTTTGCACCAATGAAAGAAATGATTGCACTGGTCACTGCTGCTATGTATGATCGTCATCAGAAGCATTCTACTTCTGAGGCAGACAGCGAGGATGAAACATTGCCTTTTAGAGACTAACAGTAACAAACTCATTCAACACAAAATATGGACCATGATTACTGTCATTGACTGGAATTAAAAATAAATAATATGAACATGTTATTGTTGTTTTACACTACATCATTTTTGGCTACTTTTGGTCAATTTTTAACACCATTATTCCTCATTTATTGTTTGAAACGCCTGCCAACCCTCAATGGGGATACAAGCACCAGTACGGGGGGTTGATTTTGAATTTGATTGTCATCTCACCGCTTTGTTGCTAATGTGGACTAACTCCTGCTGGGACTTGTAGCTTTTATTTTTAACTTAAATCTGTATTAGGTGTCTAACAAAAGCTTTCATTTCTTACTTGATGTATAGACCATTGTGGTAATAAAAAAAACCCCTTTGTTTCTAAAAAATAGATTGGGCTACTTTAAGGTTAGTTTTTAAGGTATTTGGGATTATTCATGCAGTAGAAATCTGGCAAACCTGAGCAGCACCTCAAGCGGAGCTGGAGTCAGTGCAGCAGCAGGCAGAAACACAAGGGCCAGAGAAGGAGCCCAGGAGGCAGAGCTGGGCCGTGGTCAGGGCAGCAGCACTGAGCCCGAGGACCCAGGGCTGGGCTGGAGGCGGAGCAGCGGTGCTGAGGTGGAGCTGGGGAGCTGCAGCTGGAGCAGACCAGAACCGGGAGCTGGGTCAGACAGATCAGCTGCACCGACAGTGAGCCAGGCCTAAGTTACAGTGCAGAGCTGCGGGGTCAGAGCCAGGATAGTGGACGCCGGCCGTGCCATAGGTAATATGGCAGCTGAGTACAATGCCCAGCTGGGGAAAGCAAGGTGGGGCCATGGGCAGAGGGCCTGGCACAGGGAAACATCAGCAGATAAGAGGGCCTTGAAGGCTGGACTCAGAAGAGGGGACACAATTCTCATAGAGGGGCAGATGCTGGGGAGAAGGGACTTGCCACCTAGAGCCTGAGGGCATGTGGTCACCGCCACAGAAAGTGTCTGACCCGCGGTATCAAGGCACACAGCCAGGGCCTGGGCAGGAGGCCTGGGACTTGTGAGGAACAGACTGAGACTTTCCTTACATCTCAGAGACAGCTGTTTGTGATGTTGCCATGCCCACACAGTTGGGTTCTTTGTTTACTTAAACCTTTCCCATTTTTTCCTTATTTTTTCTTACAGTTGCTGTTTAATAAACTATATTTGGTTTGAACTTAATGTAGTTATCAGAGGGTCAGGGAAACGTCCATTATGAAGAGACTACCCTGGAGTGGGGACACCCTAGCCCCTGTCCTAAGTGACCACAATGAGACTGGGGGTTCAGCCTCCCAGGAATCCTTGCCCTGGCCATGTCACCATTAAGGGGAAGTGGATGGGGAGTTCTTGAGCTCAGGCAGGCCTCTGGGTAAAGAGACAATAAGGAGTCTGGTGGCACCTTAAAGACTAACAGATTTATTTGGGCATAAACTTTCGAGGGTAAAAACCTCACTTCTGAGGTTTTGAAGACTAACAGATTTATTTGGGCATAAGCTTTCATGGGTAAAAACCTCACTTATGCCCAAATAAATTGGTTAGTCTTTAAGGTGCCACCAGACTCCTTATTGTTTTTGTAGATACAGACTAACACGGCTACCCCCTGATACTTGACACAATGGATAAAGAGAGAGGGAGTAGGGACTCAGACCCTGTTACTCAAGGACTCCTCTTCCACTCTGATGTGTAGCCGTCCTCTTAATGGTGAAAAAAAGTTAACGAGAATGGGTTTTGTACTGGTCTTATTACAGAGAATGCATTTTTAAATAAGAAGCCTGAGAGACACAGAAATTCTGGAAATAAAGGAATAATTTCTAAGATTTGTTGATTGCTATGAGCAAGGGGATGCTGGCGCCATCTATCAAAACTTTAAGCAGTTCCTACAAACATCGGGGACCACTGTCATGGCAGGCTATGTAAATGGAGTATAGCAAAAAATCATGCAAGATCACTCCACTGCCATATATATTCACACTGCATAGCTCATAAATTGAATTTGGTTTAATTTGAAGGCTGCAAAGTAAACTGGAGAACAACAGGACTTTTTCCACTCTAGAGGGCTTCTGTACCTTCTTTTCCCAGCATGCCACACATCATGCTTACTTGGAGGGCCAGAAGACGCTTAGAGTAACACTGGAATTCTCTCGTGTCGTTTAAATAAGATGAGATAGGCATGCAGATGTAAAAATGCATCTTTTGTAAAAAAAAAACCCTCCATGACAGCACTTCTCAGCAGTTTGAAGGGACTGTCAAAGCCTCCCTAGAAAAGATTAGCCACCACGTTCTGACAGTTTATTAAACCACTTACATTGAAATTTGTGTGCCT